AGTGAACTTTAATGGGCAATGTCCTCAAAAAAAGAGGTTGGTAGACATAAATCCCCACAAAAGATGTTCAGCAAGGGCTCAATTGAAATTCTCAGCACCCAATGAGGGTGCGTAAGAAGTGAACCATGTTCTGGAAGGGTCCAAAAGAATGGTGGACAACCCTAAAACGGCCAAAAGGTAACCCACTTGCAAATGGCTCAGAGAAAAGGCAAAAGGAAGAGCTTTTGGTAAATTCCACTTCTTCCCTCTTCTTGGAACTCCTTTAGCACTCTTCTGGGAACAAGCACACCCACCAACCACCAACACAGAGACTGGAGAAAAGGGGCTCCCTGGTTTGGACAGTTTTCCTCCAACCATCTCGTGTTTTGGTTCATGGTTGGAAAGGCATGTTTTCCGTGGCTTTACACATGGGAGAGGCCAGTTTCATTTAGTTCCCTTTGTTGCTGCCTTTAGGTGGGAAATCTAGTTGGAATTCTGGAGTTTCTCCCACCAAAACCAAGCGATTTGGATTTTCAACCCATTTGGGCTTAAGTGGGGGTGGTGACCCCAAAGGAAACAAATGCCATTCTTGGCAAGTGTGATGATTGTTTCCAGAGGCTGACCCTCGCAATGAGCGGTTTGGAACCCCACTGAGTGAGGAATTACACGCTGGGACGTCCATTTCAACCCTGAAAAAGCAAAGACAACAGCCCAACACCACGTAAACGCGCGACTGTCATGAGAGCTTTTCGGCGCAATGTGCGAATGCACTGTTTGTTTTTGCTTGCATTCAGGAGGGCTTCGTACTTCTGTCGGAAACGACCAAATCGCTTGGGAGGGGTTGTCGACACGATGTTTACAAAACACAGGTCTTTGCTGAAAAGCCTGGCGGATGTGCTTGAGAGACAGACCTGTGTTCTTTGTCTATCGAGCTTGCCTGGCCGGTGTGCTTAACATTTCGGCGGGTGCGCATAGCATTGCCGCCTGCGCACGAACTCTTTTGCACTGAGCATGCACGAAACACTACAAATACCATGGAGAATACAGTCGTGCCAAGTGCTCGTTCTTGAGTGTTTACGCAGTGTGGGGCCAAAAAAGAAAAAGGCACAAGTTTCTGCATTGTGCGGCCAAACAGCATTTCCAAGGTGAAGGGATCCTTCGTGGGCTTCGATTGGCACGAGTGGATCTGCGAGGAAATTAACGGTTTCAGCATCGAATGTGGAATGGTCGGAATCAGGCACCTGACGCTCTCTGTGTTGCTAAGTGATGGAACATTGCGGGAGCCAGGGCTGCTGAAATTCCTGTTAAGTGTGGAGCTAAAGGGTCCAATTACCTTCATCATTCGGATGTGTGCTCAAGGGGAACCCTTAGAATACAACCCAGAAAGAGGAACCCTAAAGCGCGCACGCGCATTTGAGAACCCGTCATGGACCCTGCGCTAGTGGCATCGACAGCAAAGGCAGGGCGTCGGCATCCATGCCTCTCTGGCCCAGCGTTCTGACGTGCCAAGTCTACACTTGGCCGTGCACGGAAAAAACAATATGCTGAGATTCTGTTCCATATTTAGTCTACCCTAACACAAAGGAAAATTGGAGACCCGAGATTCCAAGAGAGCAGGCTTGAAACAAGCCAATGCTCAACACCCAAACCTCCACCACCCAACCCCGAGAGAAGCACCGAAACAAACACCAGAAGCCCCCCTACCCTAGTCACGAAGGCGACTAAACTCGGAGCCATTGGCTAAGAACAGCGACACTGGGTATCGGTATAGGGCCAGTCTCAGTGTACATCAAACGAAACACCATTCGCTTGCTTTGGTCTGGTCAGGTCGCATGCTTTTTGGAGCTCTGTGCAAAATGATGTGGCAACGAGGTCCCAAATTTGGTGCTGACTTGGAAGCAGCTTTAGACCACCATTCAGGGGGTAAGTCAGAGGATATCATTGGACCCAGTGGAGCTGATTCTGAATTCTCTCTATCCTATACCAAAGACCCAAGTCCAAGCGACGTCAGAAGAGACACGTACACATTTTGGGTCGGTGAATGAAGGTAGTAGCATGTGTCATGTGACAGCAGTGACATGTTGGACCCAGTTCATGTTTTTTAAATGCCAGGGCAACTATTTGTAGAACTCCATGCAAGGTGATTTGCTGTGCCAACAAGATGAATAATGACAGTTGCAGGGAATTGTCTTTGGATGTTCGACTGCTGCGATGCCATGCTACTGGCACAGGCAGCCAGGCCCTCTCTTCGCCACTTACCTGCTGCCGTCAGTACTGTACAGTCTGAACCTTGGCCCATCCAGCGATGGTCATGTGTCTTCCTATTCTACGGCGAGCTCACTTGAGGGTAACACGAGCTCGCCAATGAAGGTCCTTTTCCGGGGCTTGCCTTATTTCCAGTTAGGGAATCACAGACATATGCCCAGGTGTGTCAGATTGTTAACATTGGGACTTTTTCCGATCCTGCTAGAATGAGCCCAATCGGGAGAGGGTCTGACAACCCCTGCCCCAAGGTCGTTAAAGACACCCAAAGTGGCTTTCCGTGGTATATGTTGAATCAAGAAAGCACTCGCCCCAGTTCTTATGGTTGGTGGCGATTCACCTTGCCCCTAATTGGCTGCTTGGGACCATGATATAGAGACGAGGTTTCATGGTAGGTATCCGGATATCGACCCATTTCGTTTCAAAAACCGGGGTTCACTGCGAGTCAACCAGACGCTTTTCAAGTAACTGGCCGCGGTTCAAAGGCAACGAACAAGATCCTTCTGTTGGGTAGCGAAAGGATTTCTCATAGCGGTTGTGTTATGAGTATGGAATATCATATTGGCTTTGGGTGAATTCCTTGTGTATGGAGTTTCAGTGGGACACGAAAGAAGCTCTACTCCAGTTTTTCCGTTGTTTGTTTGTATTGAATGTTGGTCTCGTTGAACAGCCTCAGCTGATGGGTTATTTTTGGCCCAACAAGTTCTATGGCTGAAAGAACAACACTGCCTATTTTGAGGTCAGGTCGGGGTAATTGTCGCATGTTGGGATGTGGGGCCTTTTTTGGGAAGTACAGTACAAATCCCTTTTTGACAAGTTTGGGTTATGTTCAGGTCATTTTGTTTGCTCACCTGAGCAGTGAAATTTTGACACCGAGGATGGGTTTCCTGGCCTTCGCTTTGAACGTGAAGATGACCATGCCTCGCGTGGCCACCACGCTGCCCGGCATGCAAATCCAAGTCTGCTGAGCAGCGCCCACGGATTCCTGTCGGGCAATTTCGTAGGTTCCGCTCCTACCTGGCTTCATCAAGCTTATTGTAAGGGTTTTGTTAACCAATATATCCGTGTTGGCGGAGCCAACAGGCTTCCCAGTTTGCCATGATTGTTGGAGGGAGGCTACTTTTTTGCGTATTGATTCGATCCAGTTTTGAGTCTTGATGAAGTGTGCTGGTTGGTGTTGATTAGTCCACGGTTTTGCTTTGGTCTTTGTGTTGATTTAGTCTTGCTTTGGTGTTGGTGAAGTGGGTTGGTATCGGTTTGCCCGCCCATATTGCTATTCGGTTGATTTTTTTTCGACCACTTGCTGTCTGTTGGGTGCCCAGCATTTTCCCTGCCGGCAGCGACTTTGTTGGTTTGCCTTTAAGAGGGTCCCTTCTTGGGAGGGTGGCTTTCTCCGTTGCAGGCCTTGTTTTCGGCAGGTTCCCCATTTTGGGCAAGAGTCTGGCCCGCACGCCTTCCCCTAAGCAAATGGTTGAAACTCTCTGTGAAAAGGGGCAAAGAGGGTTTTTGCTGAAACTCACACACGCTTTCTCTCTCTCTCTCTCTCTCTCTCTCTGGCTCTTTCAACGGACAAAGGCGAGGCGCTTTGTTGAAATTCTGCCTTGGAACAAGATCATTGGGGCGAGGGGGGCGCTGAACCAAAGCTGTTCAAACAGTACGACGAGGAACATGGAGTCTTCGAGGATCTATTCGTACGGTCCTGTACAAGATCTTATCCAGTACAAGATCTCCTTGCAGCATCTCTAACAAGGATCAGTGCACGAGGCCTCTTGGGAGGATCTCGAGAGGCAGCCTCCAAAAGACTTGGTTGCGACAACTTTGCACAAGGTCCATGGTAGAGACCATAGAAGGCTTTGCGCAAGATCTCTCCCCGAGGATACGAGTATTTTTCGAAGTAGTTCCCCAGGTCCTGTGCAAGATCTCCCAGGATCTCTAGCAAGGGTTGGCGTGCAAGGTCTCTTGGGGGGGATCTTGATAGACAGTTCTCTGCAAGGTCTGGCTGCAAGAGAAACAGGGTCCATGGCAGTTCCTTGTACAAGATCTCTTGCTGGAAGATCATGGGACAGCTCTTGGAGGTCTTGTAAAAGATCTTATGAGGAGAGCGTTGCAGAAAGTCACGTGCAAGATGAGCAGTGTTCAACAGTCACAGCGCACCGCAGCCAGAGTGATCCCGACACGCCCAAAGTCCGCAGAGGGTTCGCTTTGGATGTTGGAAGGGCACGGCACACTCGGCTCGTTTTGGATGTTATCCGCAGAGGATTCGTTCTGGATGATAGAAAGTCACGCCGCCCACAACGCGAGGGGCCCGGCAGGGAGAGCGACTCGACACGTCAAACATCCACAAGGGGTTCGCTTTGGATGATAGATAGGAGCGCCTGCCAGCACTAAATCCTGCAACGTGTTCGCCAATTCACAATTTGCGGAACTCACGCGGTGCCACAGCGACAGCTCGGCCTCGAAAAAACACCCTTGCACAGCCGAAATGCGCCGGGGCGTGTTGGAAGCAAGTTTTGAGGCAAGCGAGGCCGGCTCACGCGAAGTGAAACGTGAATTTCACCCTGTCACACTCTTGCCGCAACACTGCTTGGGCAGAACAATCGGTCAAAATAGTCACGAATATCCGTTAGATTGGTGAAGGTTGACTCTTCCCGTCCGAGACCCAACGTCGCCTTCACCCTAAAAGGGGCTGTTCGAGCTTGGAGAGTCTTGGTCTGAATTCATGGCGTGAGCCGATCGGTTTGCCCAAGACCCATCGAAGGATGCTGGCGCTGGTGTCCCTGACCAACCTGCGGAACCACGTGCTCACGCTGGTGCCCTCCTCAGGCCCTCGGAGTTGGATGGAGGACCACGGGTTGGAAGAGAGTTTTTGCGTTTTTTGCGCCAAGCAAATGGGGAGGAGTACTTTATCGCACGGGTTTCATCTTCGCCATGAGGAGTACTTTTTGCTGGCGATGATCTTCATGTTCCTGAACCTGGTGGGCCACTGTGTGTCCTTTTACTTGGACAGCGTTGGAAGGCGGGTTGGTTTATTTTTCGAACGTAGGCGGTGTCACCCAACGAAACAAAGAGCGCTTCCCGTTTCAGGCTCCTTTGCTTTGGGTGACAGGTAGCGCTGTCTTGTGCTTTGTCTTGTGATGTTGAAAGTGGACGCACAATAACCCCTGAAGGACCAAGATGCAGCAAATGGCGAATAAGGTGAACCTGTGGGGGATGCTTTCGCTGTTTCTGCTCATTGCCATGATCCTTTTGCATGCCGCTCGGCTCCGGCGATTCAGCATCATTTTGCAGTGGGCGGAAGTGGAGAAAAAGGGGGCAAGATTGGGAGATGTGCGACGGACTGATTGTCTATGGTTCTTTGGGGCGCGCAGGGGTGGTTTCATCTTACGATTCCTGAGGACCCCTGTTTTTGAACACACCGCCACGAACGGCATACGCTTCGTGGAGCCAACACGCATGATTGCCTATGGGAAGCAGCGCCGCAATTGTTTCGCACACAGAAATCCTACCTGTCAGGTCTCGCAGTTGCTTTCTTTGGTTTTGGGGCACGAAAGGTCATGATTCCTTCAACACGTCTTTCTTGCAGGCGTCTCTCCTGCCAATAACATCTCCTGTCAGAGAAATATTCAGCTTTGGAATGTTTTGCTCAACGTGTCCAATGTTGGCAACCGGTTGTTTTACGTGGCCCTGAAGCGTCAGCCATTTGACTGTACCGCGCGGCTTTCAACCGAGCGGCGTTCGGGGCCCGGGCTGCATGTTTGTGGCCCGAATCCTCCCGTTTCAGTTCCTCTTCATCGTCCCTTCATCTCTTTGTTCTCCTTCACTGCTACTGCCTTCATTCCCCTCTCTGCACTTCCTTTCTGTTTTGCTTCATTCCCTTTCATTTCCCTTCATTTCTCATTTGTTCCCTTCATTTCCGCTCATATACCTGTTTGTCTTCTTGCATGTCTCCCTTCATTTCCACTTGTTTCCCTTCATCATTTCCCTTCATGTCTTCCTTTACTCTCCGATCGTTTTCTTTCATTTCCATATTTCCATGCCTTCCTTTTGTTTTCCCTTCATTTTCCTTCACCTCTCGCTCCATGTCCCTTCGCTTCCTTCAACTCATTTCCGACACGCTTCTGTGGAGGTCCTAAATATTGCAAGTGCGAGCAAATGTGAGGTGGACACTGCTTCTATGGCATCGCTCTCTGTGCGGACCCCTCTTCCCCAATTACAATGTTGAAGGCAAGCGCGTGCCCCCTCCAAGGCCCAATGTACTGCAAGTTCAACATTGAGGTCATGTCGTAGCGCTTTTTTTGGCGGATGGCGTCCTCTGTTTGTCTGCTCCGCATCCAGGGCGAGCCCGAGGTTCTGGCCGCATTTTCGCGTGGAGGGTTCCGGGCGTGCGGGAAGGTTCCGGAGGCGCACGTGCCTGGGGGGGTTCCGAGAAGGGAGGATGCATGGGGCGGTTCGGAGGGTTTGGGGGATGCGTGGGGCTTCTGGGTGCTGGCCGCGGCGCGTTTCGAGGAAGGTTCTGCTGATGCGTGGGGCGGATCGGAGGAAGGTCCGAGTTCCGGGATGTGCAGGGTGGTTTCAAGGAGGGTTGCAAGGCGGCTCCGTTGCCTCTATGCACGCGTGCTTTTTGTTATTGGTGGTGTCCGAAACTTGCGAATGAACAGTGGCAAACCTGAGCGCCTGCGCGCGCCTAGGCCGCAGGCTGGTCGCGCAATCCAACTTGCATTTTTGTTTGCCAGCTAGGGTTCCGTGATTTCTAGTGGCCGAAGCTTGCAAGCAAAGGCAAGCCTGAGCACCTGGGGTCAGCCCAAACTGCGCCGCGTAAAAGTTGACAAATATGCCTCATGCTTATTTTGAGCGCAAATGGGAAACCACCCTTACTCTCCATACCACCAACCCAAAGCCACCAATCGGGTATGGTGAATATCACATGGTCACTCAGTCCCGGGAGTGCCAACTCGTGGACGAGGGCCTCGCCTCTGGGCTGGTGGTGTCCTGCGCTGCGCTGAATCTGCTGGTCTTCCTGTTCCTCGCGTGGCACCACCGAGACCTGGCGCATCCCGAGGTCCCAGGTCCCAGTAAACTTGCAGATTTTTGAGACTGACAATTCTTTGGTTTGGCATTTTCTTTGATTTGGGTTTTTGACTTTTATGGTGTAATTTTGAGGTAAGTATAGACTCTTTCCCAGGGATTCCGCTTCAGCAGGTACCAAGTCATTCCCCACCCTAAGACGATGGCGAACATGTTTGGTTTCCTACTATTCTGGCTTGCCTGCGATCTAGGCTCAGACTTTCAGATGTAGACAAGAGTTGCGTTCCTTCAGAATTCACTACCAAACAGGCTGCCCCCTGGTGCCATGCCCACTAGAGAGGTTTGGGGGACTTCGATACTTTTAGAGTTTAGTGGCCTTTGTGCCGCTTCCCACAAACATACTCAATTCAAAGTGTCAATGAGCCAAGGAGAGGCGTTCCGGGAACGTCTCCACCACTTGCCGCAATTGCACCACTCAGCGAGTATGCAAAACTCGCACCCGGAGAATGATGGATCGGAAGAGAACAGCACCGCGAAACTTTAAGGCCGATGGCATGGTGAAATCTTCGTGCATCTACTTTGCGCGGAGTTGATTCCTTTTCAAACACCCGGCTGTTTTCGTCGGTGTTGGCAAGTTTCTGGAAAGGGATTCCTGGGTCCGGAATGGTTGGCAATCCCCTCGGAATCGCGGTGCCATAGCGGTTATTGGCGTGGTACATGTGATAGACACTGCGCATCAAAAAGCGATGCCCCCACGCAAGGCCACTGGCCTAAGCGCACGGTACTGTGTAGTTTTGGCAAGCCGCTCTTCCCATCAGATTCAGTGAAACTGAAGCTGATTTGCCTTGTGGAGAGAAGCGACGCAAAAAACTTGCCCGGCAGGCAGGGAGCAGCTGGAAAGGGTTCGTCAATGCCAGCAGCTGTGGTCTTTGGTTGAGCAGGGTCCCTTCAAGGATACGTTTGGGCCAGTCCAATAAAGACCTTTACCAAATGATTTAGATGACTTTGTAATGTTATTGCAATTTGGGCTTTTTCATGTTTTCGACATGGACAGTTCTTCGCTCCCAGTTCGGATCCGTGCGCTAAACCTGAGGAGTCTGGCCAAATCAGCGTTCCGTTCGAGATTCTGAATGCGCCGCACTTTCTGGACGCGGGGCACTGAGCTTCAGTTCAAGTATCTGGCGATCTCGGGAGATCGTGCTGGGCAGATACATGGGACATGAAAATACAGCATTAGATGTGTCTCCTTTTGAGGGATACCCCCTGTTGGGTTCCATCTCAATTTGCAGGGAAGCAGTCAGAACAGGGGGCTTATAATTCGGTCATGCTGAAGGAGTTATATATGTGTACAACGAGCTGAGAACTGCAAGTCAGTGATGTGGCAGATGCGACGCATTGCAAGCATCCGATTTGTCGAATCTCATCCCATAAAGTGCACAGGGTTTTTGTGGAGGACTGCTTTCATTTTCGGAGCGAGCGATGCCGAGCATGTTAAACTTTTGGACTTATGGGTAAGGGGTTCCTCTCAAGTTTCCTTTTTTGGAGGGGGACGCGCCTGAGTAGTGCCTTGGGGGGAGGGAGGGGTCAACGTTTCCCATGCACTCCGTGTTTGCTTCATGAGACACACCTTACAGGGCCTTGTTTGGGGACCCCCTGTGTGGAGTCGTAGTTGTTTGTGGGATAGTTAAGACAGGGCTCCCTATATAGTCACTTTTCTGGGCTGATGTTTAGGTGAGTTTTCTCTTGGCGGGGTGATGTTTAAAGGGGAAGTATAGGGAAACCTGTAAGAGCACACTCAATGGACAATGCCCTGTTGTTCAGCCTCCTAAATTGATCATGAGCTCACCCATGATGAAGGTCAGTTCTGGGGGGGTTCTTATTTCTGTATTTGTTTCTGGGTAGATTTCTGCATTTTTAACAAGGCCAATAGGGTACTTAAGCTGTTTTTGGCCTTCATTTGAGCTAAGGGCACAGCCCCTCAAAATGAATGATGTATCCTTTAAGCGAGAATGGTATACTGGGTAACAATCAGCAACCACATGGAACCCAATTTGTGGCTTCATACATGTGTGCTGACTGTATCTATTGGTTGGGTAAAAATTGATTGTTGCTTACTATATTCTTCCAGCATCGGTGGGCCAAAATTAAACTCGACGTAGGCCCGGCTGCTGCTAGACCCTGCCACCGCGGATGCGATGGAGGTTGGGGGGGGGGGGGATTGTGAGAGGTACCCTGCACAATTCAAAACCGAGGCTTCAAATCGATCTGAAAACGATACCAATACTGCCTTCGGATCCTATGCCCACCCCAAGCCAAGCTCTAAGTCAACCCCACACTAGCCTTAAACACGGAACCCCGGAACAAGAAGCCGCCAAAGTTTGGAAGGCACATCTCCATTTATGCTTAGGTGTGTGTGTGTGCGCGCTTGTGTCTGTGCTTGTGTGTGTATGTGCGCGAGGACACCTGAATATGTATATATATATATATTTATACATATTCATATACATGTCATATACATACATATGTATATGACATGTATAATATATATATATACATACACAAACACTTCCTGCAATGTAATGTGAGGCGAGATGAAAGGAAGGTACTGTAATGTTCTGTGCTGAAATCAATCAGAGTAAATGGAATCACGTAACGATATGTATTATAGCATAGTCTAGCAGAACGTAACTCAATATAGCGCAATGGAAAATACAGTAGTCTAATGTATCGCAATGAAGTGCACATGCGTTTGCATAACATTCATCGAGATCTCGTTAGTAGTCGAGAGCACTTTTGATGGTGGTTCTTTATGTAGGTATTCCAAAAAGCCCAGTTTGCAAGTGATGGCAGTTTATTGGCAGTTTATGCAGCTGTAGGTATCTACACAGTGAATACAGCCGGCTTGAGACTGTCACAAACCCGCGAGTTCCGTGGTTTGCGAACAGGCTCTGATTTTCCCCATTGGCAAGATACAGCTTTTCGAGCCTCGAAAGTGTTGTCTCGGTCTTAGCCTTTGAACATTGTAGCATGCAGCGTGCCATAAACTGCGTGCTTTCTGTAGACAGGCACGGCCAGATACTGCTTGCGCCTTCGCAGGTCCACCTAAAGCAGCTGTTTGTGGTGGCAGGGGCCGCTGCCATCTCAGACGTGCGTTTGGAGGAGACCTGGGGACCGCACAATGATGCAAGCTATGGCTGGATGGTTGTGTCATGTCCGAGCAACGGTAGATGCCCGCAACATTGCAAGGCCAAGGGAAGCTGCCCTCCATTTTGTGGTTGGATGAGGTTGCAGGGCTCCTCAATGCTCTTTAGCGGAGGCGTTTTGGCTATTGACACATAACACGTTTTCCATCCGGCCAAATGACGAAACCCGTTAAGGGGGGAAATTTTCAGGTGGACAATGAAACACCGCCCCTATCCGTACGCCGGATTCCGAAAAGGTAGCAAAAGGGCCGCCCTGATCCAACATTTCAACCAAGGGCAACCTATTTGTGATACTTAGGACTCTGGATATCTGTAGCAAGGGTCAACCACTCTTCTCTCATGTCTAAGTCGTGGTGGATCCGCGAGAAGCCACGCAGATCTTTTGGATGCCATCGGACTTTTCCCGCGTTGCCTCCGAAAGGCGATCGGCTTTCGGCTCGCTCCATTCTAACCGCTCGCAAACTAGGAGAAACACCCAGACCCCCTATGCAAGAAGGCTTCTGAGAACCCTCTTGGAGAGAGGGTTCTTGGGCAAATTCTGAGAACCATTCTGCGGGACAATCTGTAATCTCCTGACAACGAGTCCTATATATATATATACACATATTTGAGTGTTCCTGAATTTGTGTTGGTTTCAATGGACAGCAAGATGTGGCCCTTGCTCCCATCTTGTCTCCAAACAGTTTCCCTTCGGATTCCCTTGGTTTTCTCTTGGATTTCCCTTGTCTTGTTTGAAGATAAACCCCAAAGGGAGGTTCCCCTCAAAACACACACACACACACACACACACACACACACACACACACACACACACACACACACACACACACACACACACACACACACACACACACACACACACACACACACACACACACACACACACACACACACACACACACACACACACACACACACACACACACACACACACACACACACACACACACACACACACACACACACACACACACACACACACACACACACACACACACACACACACACACACACACACACACACACACACACACACACACACACACACACACACACACACACACACACACACACACACACACACACACACACACACACACACACACACACACACACACACACACCACACACACACACACACACACACACACACACACACACACACACACACACACACACACACACACACACACACACACACACACACACACACACACACACACACACACACACACACACACACACACACACACACACACACCACACACACACACACACACACACACACACACACACACACACACACACACACACACACACACACACACACACACACACACACACACACACACACACACACACACACACACACACACACACACACACACACACACACACACACACACACACACACACACACACACACACACACACACACACACACACACACACACACACACACACACACACACACACACACACACACACACACACACACACACACACACACACACACCACACACACACACACACACACCACACACCACACACCACACACCACACACCACACACACACACACCCACACACCCCACACACCCACACACCACACCACACACCACACACCCACACCCACACCCACACCCACACCCACACCACACACCCACACACCACACCCCACACACCACACCCACACACCACACCCCACACACACACCACACCACACACCCACACCCACACCCACACCCACACCCACACACACCCACACACACACCACACCCACACACACACCACACACCACACCCACACCACACACACCACACCCACACCACACCCACACCCACACCCACACCACACCACACCACACCACACCACACCACACCACACCACACCACACCACACCACACCACACCACACCACACCACACCTACACCACACCACACCACACCACACCACACCACACCACACCACACCACACCACACCACACCACACCACACCACACCACACCACACCACACCACACCACACCACACCACACCACACCAGCGTCAACGGTAACGACAACGTCGCGGTAATAACGTCAGCCAGCGATAGCTTCATCAGCGGTAATCGCGTCGCGTCCGTCCGGTCCACGTCCGGTCCGGTCAGACCGATAAAATGCAGTCATGCGATCATTCCGTCCGTCAATCCGGTAAATCCGTTAAATACGATGGTCAAATACGATCGTCCAATCACGGTCAAAGTGATCAGGTAATCCCGATGGTCCGGGCCGCCTACGCCCGCCGCCGCCGCCGCCGCCGCCAACGTGAGCGCCACCGGCGCTTCGCCGCCGCCGCCGCCGCGCCGCCCGCCACCGCCGCCGCCACGCCCGCCCGCCTTAACGTGGCGATAACGTGCGTAGCGTCGGCGTGGCGTGCGTGCGTATTCAACGTGTTTGCCAGCAGCATTAACGTGGCGTGTGCGGTGCGTGCGTGGCGGCTTGGCGGTGGCATTGGCATTGGCGTTAACGCGTGGCGTGTCCGTGGCGCGTGGCGTTAACGTGGCGTGGCGTGGCGTGGCCGACGTGCGTGGCGTGACGTGGCCTGGCGCGGCGTGTATTGCGAAATGCCGTGTGCGTGGCATGTAGCCAACACCGAGACCTAGCAGCCAGCAAAGGCCAAGCGCATTAGCGACCATTAGCATGCGGCGCGTGGCGATAGCGTGCGTGGCCTGCGTGGCGATAGCGTGGTGGCGTCGCGTGCGTGGCATGTGTCAGCATTGGCGTGGCGTGGCACGTGGCGTGGCGTGGCAGTGGCATTGGCGACTGGCGTGGCATTGGCATTGGCGTGGCTGGCGTGGCGTGGCGACATGCTGACCTTACGGCGCCATGACCTTATGACGCCCAGCGACGCCAGCGCGCCATGCACCCACGCACCCACGCACCCACGCACCCACGCACCCCACGCACCACGCACATGCCACGCACACGCACCCACGCACCCACGCACCCACGCACCACGCACGCACCCACGCACCCACGCACCCACGCACCCACGCACCCACGCACCCACCCTGCCACCCACCCACGCACACCCACCCACGCACGCACCCACGCACGCACCCACGCACGCACCCACACACACACACACACCTCTGGCCAAACGATTTGTGTTTGCATGAGCACACCACCGTGTGTTCAAAGGACTTGTGAGGCTTGTAGTGTATCTGGACGCATCCACTCTTGGGAAGACCCTTTCCAAAGACTAGTCCACCATGAGAGGAGGTTCCTCGGCAACCGTATTTGCCTAGATCCACTTACTTGCGTCCTGGGGATACCAAGTCATGCAGCCTCAAACTACTTGAAGACGCACTTCTTGCGGAAAGAATTAGTTCTTGTTTTTAGTTTGTGACATGCTTTTGCTTCACTTCGGATATGGTTTTGGCTTGCGAGGAGCCCCAGGTGATCTTCCGAGAGGCTCGGAGAAGCGAGACACGCAGCGTGCGGCTTTATCCCTGTCAGCCTGCTTGCTTTTGTTTTGCTTGGTTTGGCTTGCTTGTTTTGTATTTGCAATTTATATAGCATTTTCTAAGAAACGGTTTGGATGCGTTTTTTGTGGATCCACCCTTGTAGGATAGCAACAGAGTACTAAAAGAGTATTAAAAGAGGAACAACTCGCCAAACAACATGGGGAAACCACAGAAAGCGCATCCAAACCGTTTCCTAGACATTTGTATTTCGATGTGTTTTTTCTTCTTTTTTTTTTTTTTTAAATCAGTGTTTCGGTCCCTCTGTGGGTGGATGTATGGGTGCGTGGGTTGGTTGGTTGGTTGTGGTTGGTTGGTTGGTTGGTTGGTTGGTTGGTTGGGTGGTTGGTGGGTGGGTGGGTGGGTGGGTGGTTGGTTGGTTGGTTGGTTGGTTGGTGTTGGTTGGTTGGTGTTGGTTGGTTGGTTGGTTGGTTGGTTGGTTGGTTGGTTGGTTGGTTGGTTGGTTGGTTGGTTGGTTGGTTGGGTGGTTGGTTGGTTGGTTGGTTGGTTGTTTTTTTTTTTCTGTTGTTGGTTGGTTCGGTCGCTCGGTCGGTCGGTAGGTCCGTTGTTTAGTTTGGTTTTGTTAGTTTTGCTGGTTTTGAGGCCAGCTGTGCTCCAAGTTCTTCCCAGCTAATACTGGCTCCCTGAAGATGAACATGTTGAATGTTGAGGGTTTCTCAAAGTTACTTTCGTGAGTGTTTCCCCTGCAAACCACCATTTAGAGGGGAACTTTGATTGTGTCTTACTAAGAACCGAGTCATGCCTCAACCTTTGTACAGACCGGTCTGAGCGAGGTGACCAAGAAGGAGACTACCATCGATGAATGGTTTTTCACGTACCCCGTCCGGGGGCCATGGCGGGCGTGAGGGTTGAGTGCTGAGTCCTCACATGTAGGCTTATGAGGAATGTTCCCAACCAGGACCTGCCGGGCGGCCTTTACCCTCCCTCGTGTTTTGTTTTTTGTCTTCCATGTTGGGAGGGCCTCATTTGCGATGGTCAGAACGCCTCTGGATCAAGCTTGTGAAGACCTCAGGGATGGTCCGCCCTAGTGTTTTACAATCTACAACTTGATTATTGACATTTTATAGAAGTCTTACGGTTGTTTATTTGCTTAGTCGTTTTATTATTTGAATCTGGTTCCAGGTTCTTTTCGGATCTACAATGATTGATTGTTGTTTCTATCTCCCTTTTACTATCTCCTCATCCCTCCACGTCTGTGTCAACGAAGCATTCCCACAACCAATTGACGAGGAGATACTGATAGGAAAAGCCTTTATTCTCCACTCTCTTACCCTTGTCATTTATTGCAAAGATTCTGAGTGGCTCCCAGCCTTTGTAAAAGCCCTTTGACAGGTCCCGTCAACATCTACGTGGTCCATTTGGCAACACAGGGGGACTGGCTGCATGTCCCGCAAAGACCAGGGGGCCTTTGTCTTTTTCTGATCGCGGCTCGTGAGCGGTCAGAACGCCCGAAAGGCGTTGATCCTCAGGTTGTGCGCTGAGGGTTTCTTGAAGCTGGTCAAGTCTGGTTGCATATTTTTTCAACCAGTTCCTCTGTTTCAACTGGCAATGTCGCTCATTCAACCCCAGAAAGGGAACAACCTCATTCTTGCGAGAGCCCATTGACAGATTCCATTCAGAAAAATCTTTGCCCGTGTGGGCGAGAAAGCGCCTTCGCGCGCCCATGGAACTGAGCAATGTTTGGGATCTTCTTGCAGTTATTGAAGTTACTGTTGGAGGTCCTTGAACTTTTGGCAGGCGTCGCTTTTGACCTTCGGACTTCTTCCAGGCTATCCACTTTTCTTGCTATTTTGGCCGAGACCGAATCTCCCATTGGGAGAGGTGAGGTTCCATCAACATTTTCTATTATCAATTTGGGAGGGATCTAGGACAAATTTCAGCCACCAAAACCAGCACCCACTGGTTTTCCCATCACAGGCAGCTTCGGCGTATGTTGATTCTTTTGGCAAGTGAGGATTGTCACCCGTAAATGGTATGCAACATGTTCAGTTCATTGGTCCCCTTTTCCGGGCACCTAGCCAAGTGCTTTTCTCCAGACACCCCAAGAACAGTCACAGCTGCCAAAAGCAGGCGATGGGATGCTGGGGATTGAGAGATACACTTGGCCAGAGTCACCTTTTCCACCCAAGGAACGCGAAGCCCATCTGTGTTTTTAGGTAGATACAAGAAAAGAACCCCAGCTTCCTGACTCAAAGGAAGCCCAGGTGTTTTGGCACCCAGCCCGACTGAGGTGGATACGAAGATCGGGGATCACCTGGAGCCGGTGGAGCCCGGAATCGCATCAAACAACACAGGACCGGAGCCGAGCGGACTGTCAATAAAAGGACTTGATGGGGTAACTCACTGTACTGAATGTGGAAATTTGTTGCATTACAACAAATTACAATTGTGTGTAGTCAAATCCGCCCCATATACTACTGGCAATTGAGATCCAGGATTAAGCACCATCCATAGGAAGGTGTTCTGGGCTGCCCTTAAACAAAGTGCGGAGTCTTATGCGAGATGGGAACTCAGGATATATTGTGAACGCTTCGTGCTGTCCGCCTCGACCAGGGGTTGTTGGATTCAAAGGCTTCCTTTGATATCCGTTCTTACCAGGGCCAGGTGTGGGGCAGGCTCCCGATGGTAAGGTTGAGGGGCCCAGACGACGTTCGTTCCTGGTCATGCGTGAAAGTATCAGCTGCGTGAAAATATGTGCTTGGCACTGAACCTGATTTCGCTCCAGTGTGAAAAAAGGATCCTTCACGTTTCAGGCAACCAGCCCCAAATAATGCCCAGAAACATTCACCGGCAGGATTTATCCGGGGTCAGCATTAGTGGACTTGTTAGTTGGCAGTCGGTCCCACACAATCCAGCCCAAGCTTTCCTGGAAAAAGCAAATTTGCCCAGACCTTGGCTCCCTTCTGTTCAAGCAGCGACATGCTCGATGGTGGCAGCCATTCCTGGAAGATTTGCTCCTCACAGGCGATCTCGATCTTGAGCTTCAATCACAGCGGGCAAGTTATAGCGACCAAGGGGGAGCGCGCCACAGAATGGTTCCTCAACCGAGCCGCAAAAGTCATTTCTTCACGGTCTTTGGATTTCACTTTCAAACGTGTCTCAAGCACACGGAGGGCCGCTCCAAAGCCTCATGCTTGCAGGACAGGCGGCGTTCGGATTCGCAGGACGGGTGTGTACTTGGGATTGGCATGGGTCATGAACGCTGTGCTATTATACCAACCAGAGGAACCCCATCCAATGCAAGAATGCCCCACTAACTGGGACGGAAAGCTTGCGTCCCCGATTAGCATGGTCCTTTGGATTATATTATCCGAAGTTGACATTATGGCGGGTCATGAACCCTTTTCTAGGGTGTTCAGGTTGGTATTCTACCTATGTATTTTATGGCGAAGCGAACTGACCATGATGAGGGCCCCTTACTGGTTATTGACAACATGCGGAGGGTTGATTGGCTTGATGAGGAGCATTGGTAGGCTTAGACAATAATAAGGGTTCCTACGGAAGCGATGGCAACATGACTGAGATAGGGAGTGTACCCACATTTGACCCGTCTTTGAGCATGGGTCAGGCGCTTTGGCGATATAATTTTAGGGCTGGTCTTGCTGAGCTCATGGTTATGTTTCCAGGGGGGAAATTAAGTCAGAAACAGTTTCCCTGCTTCAAACCTATCACGGGGGAGGGGGGGGTTTGGTTCACGTTTGGATTACAGGAATGCTTATCAGTTTCCGGAAAGGCAGCAGGGCATGCCGGTGATTTTGGTCGTTGCATTTAAAGGTTCACTGAACAACAATCGTTCTTAGTGGCAAACGCTGCGGCTGTTTCTCCTTTAAAGGCAACACGTGGCCAGTCCAGGGCTCCTTTGGTGTCCCCCTTGGGTTTGAAGCGGGGTTGCTGCTCAGAGGAGAAATGCACGGAACCAGGTGTTTGGTAGAACCGGACGATGCCTGGTACAAACTTGGTTTCTCATCGACCTTGATTTCCGTTCGTTTTCCGCATTGATCAGAAAGCCTTTCATCTCGCAAGTCTAAGTCTGGTCAAAACACAGGGTTTCTTGAGTCCCGTCCAAGTGCTCCATATCTTCGTTTTGTTGTTTCGGAAGGGAACTTGTCTCGCACACATGTTCAAATCAAACGCGAGGTACTGGCCGGCCCTCTGGGGTTTGAGCTTTGCACAGATTCCAGACGGGTTGGGGCTTGTCGATTCTGCCCGACAAATCCGGGGGGCCTATTTGGAAGGAATGCGCCCGCCCTGTGCTTCGTTCGTTGAAGCCTCTTATGGGAAGATTATTAGTTGGGTTTCAAACACCTTTGTCGGAAGACCCCAAGCCGCCAGACATCTCGTCGATGCATTTCCTGGAAGACAGTCCGATGCGCAGGACTTGTCGTGCTCTGTACCTGGCTGCCGGTGTCCCAGGGACTTGCAGAGGGCAAGCGAATGCTTGTATGAGAGGATATGAGGATATGGGAGGATGTTGAATTTAAGAGCCCTATGCTGGAAGCAACTTGGTTACATGCCCTTCCACAGCCTTTCATTGGGCTGGGAGTTGAAACTGCAGCTGCGCAGGTGGGACCTACTACACTGAGGATGACTGCAACATCCCCTTCGATCCACTGAAGGGCGCACAAGAAGCGGCGCTTCATGCTTGTTCTGTCAGAGAAGAAAATAACTACGTGCCTTTCCCTGGGGACGTGCCCAACTACTATAGCTTCAAACTGGGGATATAATTTGCATAAGGATATATATATATATATATATATATATATCTATATATATATATACACATGTGTTTAGTAGTTTTTGAGGAACGTACTTCAGGGACACGTAGTTATTTCTCTTGGCCTTTGGAGGCAACGCCATGGACTTGTTGCTTCATTCGCCGCCGCCTCATCTTGTGCTGCTCCCCGTCGCTGCATTCTGCCTGCAAGCATTTTCTTGAGCTGGTTCTATACGTGGACATACGTTGACGGGATCCATGTCTTGCCCAGTTGTTTACCCTGACTCCTCCTCCTCCTACTAGTTACTCTCCTACTCTGGCCTTTTCAGTACTCAGAAGAAAGAAGTACTGGACAAGAAGAGATAGAGAAAGAGAGAGAGGGAGGGGGAGACAGAGAGAGACAGAGAGAGGGGAACTACTCTCTGGCGGGCCGGGGGGGGGGGGGGTTACCCGTTTTTCAAGTCTATTATTGAGTAACTGGGGTAGCCATGTACTACCTACCTACCCCCTTGAGACATGTGTCGGCTGAGCACTTTTGTACACAGGATATGTAAGGAAATTGGCTGTTTGGGGGATGGGTGTTGTTTCCGGATCAACACAAAGACGGGTTGGAGAACAATCGCGGAAACAAAGAGCAAACAAAAACATCCAAACGCATAGTCAAAGGAACGGACAAATGCAGAAGGAAAGAAACACATGAGCACAGAAGCAAAGACACAAATACAAAGCCAGCAAGCTAGCAAAGCAAAGCAAAGCAAAGCAAAGCAAAGCAAAGCAAAGCAAAGCAAAGCAAAGCAAAGCAAAGCAAAGCAAAGCAAAGCAAAGCAAAGCAAAGCAAGGCAAGGCAAGGCAAGGCAAGGCAAGGGAAGGGAAGGGAAGGGAAGGCAAGGCAAGGCAAGGCAAGGCAAGGCAAGGCAAGGCAAGGCAAAGCAAAGCAAGGCAGGGCAGGGCAGGGCAGGGCAGGGCAGGGCAAGGCAAGGCAAGGCAAGGCAAGGCAAGGCAGGGCAAGGCAAAGCAAAGCAAAGCAAAGAAAGGGAAGGCAAGGCAAGGCAAAGCAAAGCAAAGCAAGGCAAGGCAGGGCAAGGCAAGGCAAGCGAAGCGAAGCGAAGCGAAGCAAGGCAAGGCAAGGCAGGGCAGGGCAGGGCAAGGCAAGGCAAGGCAGGGCAAAGGCAAGGCAAGCGAAGTGAAGCGAAGCAAGGCAAAGGAAAGCAAAGCAAAGCAAAGACAGGGAAGGCAAGGCAAGGCAGGGAAAGGCAAGGCAAGGCAAGGCAGTGCAGGGCAGGGCAAGGCAAGGCAAGGCAAGGCAAGGCAAGGCAGTGCAGGGCAGGGCAAGGCAAGGCAAGGCAAGGCAAACAAACAGCAAAGCACGCGCAAGAACATGCATGCTAACGCACTCGCATGTTCATTTACCACGCTTATGCATGTTTACGCCGCGCCCGTGGCACCTGTGCGCCCATTCACTAGTTCATTTACGCACCCACCTGTGGCAAGCCGGTTTCAGCTAGATGATTGATCATGGATTCCGCGGAGCCGTCTTAGTTTCACTCAGGGCTCTTTGAAAGCGGGAAGATCACACCGTGTTTTCCTGGCAGGGCCGAAAGCTTTCTCAAGTCTTAGGTAAGACCAGCCTACAAAGTGTTTCGCAGTCTGGGCGAACTCGATCAGCTTCCAAAGGCTCGAGTCCAGAAGAGCCCTGACTCGTGCGCTGTGCGCATCCGGCGCACACCGGGTGAGCTACGGCGGCTGGGCCTCCCGAAGAAAGATTCTGGGACGAGTTGAGAATACTATTGGCGAGTCATACCCCCTGCTCCAAACACCAGCTTTGTTTTAGGACATATTTTGAAGCCTTGGTTTCCCCCTGGTAAATACATTCATTTTCAGTTTGAGTCAGGCGATAGCAATGATGCCGTAGAAAAGGATCATTTGCAGTACGTTTACGTGGACTGATTGTTGACTCTTTGGGCCAATTCAATGTGAGTTTCCTTTTGATAGAAGTTTAAGGGGGAAGATAGGGAACCCCGCATTGTTTCTGCTGGTGCGCAGTACCGACCCAGCCTTTGAACAGGCTGCACAGAGCATTGCAGCCATGACCACCTCAATCTTTCTTCGCATTTTGCGAGTGCCTCGCTCTGCTGCTGTTGCAACCTTCCACAATTCGCCGTCTGCCGCCCAATTGAAAAGCTGGGCGCATTCCAAAGTCAGACAGGCTTGGCTACCAGGCGCTGGGATTTTCTGCCAAGGCACCCCCAACGAGTCAAAGGGCACCAGGGCCCTCGGGCCCAAAGTCACAGCCTGGCACCCGGGCAAGCTTCGAGGTCTGGGAGTTGTTTCTTGGCCTCTCGGATGCTGGCCTCCTGCGCCCCAACTGGGCTCCATGGCAAACCCGTTCCCCCCTCAGGCGAACCTGATTGGGAGGGATAAGGATCTAGGCGGCCATGACCGCTCGCCGGAGTTGTCTGAACAAATCTTGCTATTCGCAAGCAGTTGGGCCACTGGGAATGGCAACGTTGCATGCTTTTGGTTTTCAAGAACTCAGGCGACAGCTGGATGTCCGTCTTGATCTCAAGTCCTTGCTATGTCAAGGCACTCATTTGCTCAGCTTGGCTGAGCGAGGGACCTGGGTCATGGTGCTTAAAAGACACGGGAAGGGCTCCTTATTTAATCCTATCTCATCTCATCTTATCCTACCCCAGTTTTGCCTCATTTGCTTTTTCGGCAATGATGAAGATCTCCCGCCCACCCCTCCCTACCCCACCCCTCTCCAAACACCACACTCCAAAGCACCACACTCAGAACCCACCCACCCGCCCACCCATCAACCCATCCACCCGCCCGCCCGCCAACCCACCAAGACACATATATATATATATACGCACATATGTGAATCAGCGAGTAGTTTTTGAGCATATGTACAAGTCTTGATGTACACACAATAGTGATGTTCATATTGGCATGCATACGCGTATATCATATATCATATGTCATATGTAATATTTCATAGTTCATATATAAAATACCATTTCACAATTTATCACATACCTCATATACCTTATGCCTCTATCTATATCGAATATCCACATCCAATATCTACTATCCAATACTGTATCTATCTCTATGTACATATATATATATACATTTAAATCTAGACCTATACAAAAGTCATATCCAATATCTAATACCCAATATCTAATACCTAATATCCAATATCCTAATACATGTATATATATATATTTCTAGAAAACGCCGAAGGCACCTTCAGCCACCTTCATGGCTTGACAGCAGCCGAAGGTCGTGTGAGCCAGGTGTCAGCCAATGGGCTTTCCGTGGCACAGTGCTGGACAAGAGACGGGCCGACCAGTTCTTGGGGTCCGTGGTAGGGAGCAAATGCGTGTGACAAAAAGCAGCGATTGCGCCGCTTGCTGGATGCCTGTGAGGTTTGGTCAAATCGTCAAGTGTATGGTAACTTGCGGGGGGGATATTGGGGGACTCCTACAAAAACCAGGGGCGGGCGCGAAAGGCAAGTTTCCCATATTCATTGGGAGAACTGCATCTGTTGGCCGTGGGACTTGTGGGTTATGTCTCGACATGACACACCTCCCTTGGGATAATCAAGTAAGCCCCTAACCCACCCTAAGCCGGCCCGTAACCCCTCTAAAACCGGCCCTGAAACAAACAGCCACTTATTTGGAGGCATCCAACCATAGTCACTATCCACTTACCACCCTGCTCGGTTGCAGCGATGTCACTTGCCGGGGGTTTGCGTTCCTTTGGGGAATTCAACTTATTTCAGGCCTGAAGATCATAGTTCGCCGGACGCAACACTCCGGCATATTCCCACCGCAACCCTTCCAGCCCCAGCCTTATTTTTGGGAGCCCTCAAGAACAGAGCCCATTATTGGACTCCTGGCCTATCAAGGTTCGATTTGCCGGCATCACTTTCCTCAAGCCTACTTTAATGAGGCCAGTCGAGGGGAAACCAACAGGATAAACCATCAATTCTGGGCTGTTTTTGACCGGTCCCTGATCAGGTGCCGCTTTCGTCCACTTGGTTGAATACACAAGCCATTTGCCATACCATCGATTTTTCCGAAGTTTAGGACATGGCAAATCTAATCTCATTGGAGGATAGAACGATTACTGTGGCTCACATGGGTTCTTTGCTTGCCGGTCACACGAAAGGGCTGGCAGGGAGCTCTCGGGATCTCCCCAAGGACTTCCTTCGGCTTCCTTCGGCTCTCTCTTTGTCTCTCGGCTCTCAGCGTCTCAGCGTCTCAGCGCTTCCGAGTCGCCGAGGCCTGGGATCAGTCCAGGTCTGAGGGCGAGCTCACCGATTCGGGGGATGTAGGTTTTTGGGGGAGAGTGGTGCTTGTGCAACCCTTCAGATCTGGGGGATACTTCACAGAAGTTAAAAGGGGGGTTTGTAACTCTGGGTTTTTGTGAATGACCATGGTCATGGTTCCCATACACCTCAATATGTTCATATTCCCCCCAGCAAACCTAGCAACTTAAACAGGTTCATGGCACGTTTGGTTCATGCCTTGTTTTGGGGGAAATGTGTGTAGGGACCACAGAAATTTGTTTATGTTTGTCCGGTTGTCCTTTAAGCCTTTAATAACCCCTCAAGAAGGGCACCCTCCAAAGGCCCACCCATGTCTTGCCGTCGGCAACCCGGCCAGACATGGCGCTCCGCTTAGTCGTCGCCCTGGCACTCGCGGCCATTGGGGTGCCTCGGAGGGAACTGGGAGGGGTTCCCCCCCGCCCCACCCCTGCGAGAGCTCCCACTTTTTTCCGGTTGGTTCAAAGGAAAGCTACAGGTCTTTTCCGCTTTTTCCCCTCAACCACAGGACAATCCCCCCCCATGTTTTGGG